TTCATTTCTTGTCATCACGTGTGGGATTGCCCTGCCCCCCTCCCCCCCCCACTCACATACACACACACACCGACTATCGCTTCTGCTATGACCTATGGCTTGCGTCAATCGCGGTCGAGGTTTGCAATTTAGAATGTCGCTCTACACGTTGAAGTGTCTCAGCAGGTGATTCAAAATTGCCCTCGCAGTCGCGAAGTGGGGTCCATGTTGCTCGCGATGATGCCATCTCTGCCGAAAGGAGTGTGAAAAGCGTTGTTCTGAAATTTTTAAAGAAAATTTATACGGGCAGTACAAAGAGAGGGTAATAAACATTGCAGTACAACAGAAGTCATTGTCCATATTAACATTGTCAAATTTGCTTTCCACATTAATATTCTCAAATTGTATTATTAATGTAAGCTTAACGTTCGACATGTGAGAGATTATAAGCGATGCGCACGTTCTCGGGGACGGGATTTAAAACAATAAGGGTTATCACAGATGCAGTGTTTTGTCTTGAAGTGTTCCTTAAGAGATCCAAAATCATTATTGAGTCACCATAGAAAGGAGATGTTACGTTGAAGGTATATTCATCACCTCATTTTACTTCATCTATCATTTAATTTCATCATCTATACTTCATAAACCTCACCAGTGGTTTCCACTTTGACTGAGATTTGATCTATTTTCCCTACAAATGCGGTAAACTCTGATCCCGTAAGTTACATCTGGATTATAACTGTATTTTTTAACCCTTCCAAATGACACATGTTGGTCTTCCATATTAAGTACAATATTTTATTGCTGTCTCTATCGTTTTTTTAATATCAGCATTTTTCTTTCATTTCTACTGAGGGGTTGACATGATTCAGAGAATCCTGGAGTAGATGACAAGGCAGTAATGCCTTGGCGATCTCAGACGAAAGATCGCCGTTTCGAGTGCCGCCCTGGGTACGGCATGTTTTTAAGAATATTGTGTGTTGCACGGTTTGTGCATGTTTGTATGTGTATGTCGTCCATTCATCCTTCATCATCATTCCATCTCTCATCCCCCCAGGATCAGCAACCCAGGGGGATAAAAACTGGAGTTAGTGCTATGTTGATCTGCCCCTAAAAAAGGAATCGCATAAACTCGCCACGAGATAAATGTTACTCAGCCTCGGTAGGTGCAGGTGTACGTCCGCGTGATCCTACACCACCAATTCGCGCCCAAATAATAGTAGTAAATTATTTTCAGCGAAAGGCTTTCGAAAACTGTCGCTACTTGAGAGTTCTTGGCCACATCTCACATTAGTGTTTCTCAAGCGCATTCACAGAGGTCGTGACGCAGCGCAGCGTCCACCGGTTCCGTTCGCGTCGCGTTCTTCGGCGCCGCACGCAGCGCCCCTGGGGCGGTTCATTACTCTCACCACCCGTCGATTACCATCACCAGCCCCCCCCCCTCGGCGCAGGTCCGCTCGCGTCCACCGCGGCGCCCCGCCGCGGCCTGATTTAAGGCCGCCCCCGGCGCCCTTGGGGCACGCCGCCTCCGCCGCTTTATTAATTCAATTTCCGGCCGCGGCGACCGCGGAGGCGCTCGCGTGCGCGCCGCCGCCGCCCCCGGCCGGGCTCTCGTTACCGCCCCCGCAGGGCGCCTCCCCGACGCTGGCGCCCCGCGGCGGCGCCGGCGAGAGTAAGTGGCACGTGCGGGAGTGGACGCCCGCCTGGCTTCCGCTTCGGGGAACCGCTGGTCAACCCCTGGTCCGGCCGTGTGGGAGTTGTGGAGCACACAGACAGTGTGCAGTTGTCTGGTTTCCCTTACATTGTTACCCATCGCCTCATTCCTCCATCGCTATTCAGATGACTTCATTACTCATCATTACAGCCATTCGCTCCAGGTGCGCCCGAGACGAGAGGAACTGAGCTTCGCAAAAGAGACTTGCTGATAAAAGATTAGCCAAAAGTTAAATTGATCAACAAATTTCGAATTTTGGATTATTCCGTTCTCATCAAAATATTAATTGGTAGAAATTTTTGCTATATTCACCTTCCAAGCGGAAAAAACATGTACACCACGTTTATTAGTGAGATCGTTGAAGTATAACTATGGTTATACGCTTGTATTATTTTACCTTTCTTTGATGTATAACTATGGTTATATGCTACTTGGTACACGTGTCTCCCTCCCCTCCCCATGGCTAACCGCTGCCCATCATTGAGCCGGCAACGGGGCTCAGTAGATTGGATGGGTCAGCGCCTTACATTAGAAACAAATGTGGACTTTTACTTCCACAAAGATGTCATCAACGCGCGTGCTGAATGGCGTTTCTGCCTTTCACAACGTCTTATGTACACTTTGCGACGGAGGGAGCAAGGGAGAGTAACTAAAAGATTAGTACCACGAAGCATTTTCAAACCTGACAGGAATATACAAATTTTCAGAGAAGGTTATAAAATTTAACTGATGTCAATATGAATAGCATTTTCTTTATAATTTTAGAAACACTGAACACTAATTAGAAGTTTAAACAAATTATTTTCAGATTTACAGACTGTAAACAAACATATTCATGTCGTACAAACATTTATTGCGGATAAATTGGGTGATAATACACGTTATTTTATTAAGATGGAATTAAGATTATAGTGAACTAAGGCACAAATTACTACTAACTTCTCAGTTCTTGGATTACAACCCTCATCAGGTGAGTAACAATGGAATAACAATTTTGGATACTTATGTCCTCGTTCGATAAGAAATGTGTAGCAATACGTGTGGATGGAGAATGATGATTATTGCTACGCTCCTATAACAGGATTGGAGACAATAGGTGACAGGATATATTTTGAATTATTATAAAAATAATAAATTATAATTTAGCGTTACCGGTTGATCTTGGGTTGGTGGTGCCACTAACTCTACCCCTCGTCCACTGCCATAGAGCAGGAAGATATCGTTTGCCTTGACAGGATCCGATTCACAGCTAAGAGGCTGGTGAATGGTTTTTAGTAGACCAAATGGTGAAGAACGTCATCGTAAAATATGTTACCTTCAGTAAGTTATGTCAGAATCGAAAACAAAGAGCACGGTATACCAAGGGGGTTGAAAAGCCAGTTAAAGATTTTGAATGAGATTCTTGAAGAATGAATTTTCAATGATAATGAAGCTAATCTTTTCAAGAAATATAATACCTCAGGAATATAAAGTAATTAAAAGAATAGTTACTATGGTGAAGTGCTAAATATATATGCAACCCAAACCTAAAGTAGCTTTTTATATGACTGAGTTTTTCGGTATCTATTTGCATATTCAAAGTGTTTTGGGTGTTTTCGATGTGAGTCATCTTTTAAATTGGTTGGTATCTTGGTCTAATAAAACCCACATCTCTTTCAGTACGATGGATTTGTTATATGTAGCTTTCAGTTATGGCACTGTGTTATTGTGGATCTAGTTTGATGTTCTATTGATGTACTTTGGTACCACCAAAAGTAAACTTGACATCTGTGTCAATTACGAGCAAAGCAATATTGAGATAAAAAATAAAATATTGGTGATATATCTGGGTCAACCACATCATCATGAATTTTGCCTAGAGGTGGAAAATGAGGTGTTTTATGTAATAAAATATCCTGTTGGTGGACGAAACGCCAATCACTTTCATTAAATCGGACTCACGGTGCTTTCATATTGACGTGGAGGTGAGCCGTCTTCGCAAGACAAAAGTTCAGGGGCAACTATTATTATTATTATTATTATTATTATTATTATTATTATTATTATTATTATTATTAGCCAACTATACATTCCGTTAAGAATAAGGGCCTCATGCATGTTCAGGGGAAACCATTACTTTCCATCCATTGCAGGTACAGAGAAGAACCAAATTGTTTGTCTTGCCAAAACTGTCACCTCCAAAACACATCATAGACAACACTTTGTTTTATATTTCATCACATTGGGAGAGTTCAATAATATTGCTAACATGTTTGTATAATAATTCTTGAATTACGACTAAAATGTATTTGTGTGGACTTAGACGGCTGTTTTACTCCCTTGTCCCTATTTTGAGTGTGATTAAGTACATGAGTTCTACTTACCATATAAAGTGGTGTAAGTGAAACCTAAAATATTACAGTTCTCATTTTCAGACAATTTAATTAAAGTAAAGTGATAGCACAACGTATTTATACATTCTTGAAGAGCAAGATTAAAGCTGTCACTTATTGCATCCACTAAAGTTTGCATTGGAGGTAATAATGGAATCTCCACTTCAATTGTATAGATTTCACTTGACCCGAAATACCCTGATTCAAAAAGGAATGCAGCCCTTTCGGACCGGAGTCTTTTTGCACTTACGTGATTTTAAAATATTTTCAATTTCCTAATAACTAATTTCTTTGTATAAGAAATTGTCATATTATAAAAAATAAATAAGATTAAGTTTATACATAAAATGATTACTAATCAAGGGAAAAACAAACAAAATAATATGAAGTTTGATGAACAAGTTAAGTAATTTTACCGTTAATATTTCAATAAGTATATGAAGCAATATATTTATGGCCATATCGAACCCAACTCAGAAAAAGTATCTCCTACTATTGTTCCTATTACTTTCTACCTTTTCCAACTATTTTTTGCTAATGCATTGCTTATAACACTAAAGGGAAATCTGTAAATAACATCTGATCCCACCTAGTTTCCATTCCGGTTTAGTATGGACGTCCTCCATCGAGATCGAAAATGTACCATCGCAGGTGGCGAGTGGGGCGCGGGCGGCTGTAATGTTGACGGACGGGGCGCAGCGTGTGATGAGTGACAGTTGCACCCGCACTGCGCTCCCTCGCAGCAGCGCATAAACGAACAACGGATAACAGGTGAATGCGAGACAAAGGCCTGCGACTGGTCCCCGACCGGAGGCCGTTTCCACGATGAGGACACGCGCTCTGCAAAACCTATAGGCAGCCTACCAATTCTGTTGCGGCGGACACAAAGCCCCGTAAAACTCCCAACAATAAAATCTATCTAAAAAAATCGATCTCCCTTTCTACGCATGCGCGCTCCGAGAAGCTCGTGTGGTATTGCACAGTGCAAATTCACCTATCTAATTCTCAGTAAAATGTTACGCCTTTTTAACTCCGCAACAACACACGCCACGAATGTGACGACAATTTCGGTATGTTTGAGTAACTTTTCTTTACCCTGAAACAGAATAATGTAGTAGAGAAAACGCCCCGAGGCTCTCGCGCACGTATACACAAGCCGTTTGGAAATGTACGTACGTGGAAACCGCAAAAAACACGCAGCAAAAAATCCGCCGGGAGAGACCCATCCTTTTCATGACGGTCTCTTTGCACAAGTGACACGCCCACTAGACGTCTCTCCGCCGACACTCTGCTCGCTCTGCTCGCTCCCCCAGGAGCCGGCGGAGGGAGCCATCTTGAACAGTTGCACGCACAACCTGCAAAAGAGAAGAACTAACCAATCCTTTCTTGAAACAGCAATAATAATAATAATAATAATAATAATAATAATAATAATAACAGTGATAATACTGTTTTTAAAATTTCCCAAGATGATACATGCCGCTTTTGCCAGGAACAAGTAGAAACCTTTGATCACATCATCTCAGCTTGTCCAACTCTAGTAAACACCGAATACTCGAAAAGAGTCGGTAAGATGTGTAGATACCGCCATTAGCTTATCTGTACCGTCCTCCAAGTTGTAAACATGCACAACAGTGGTATGAACACTCACCAAAATCGGTGACGTCTGCTCGACTCTACACAATACTGTACGACCATCATATTCAAACTGATCACACGATAGCGGCAAATAAACGTGATATTGTTATCCGGGATTTGGAGACAAAAACCTGCATACTTTCTACTTGAAGATGTGTCTGTGCCGTGCGATCAAAACGTACCCAAGGAGGTAGAGAAACGTCTACAAGAGTTTGTGTGATTGTGATCAGCCGAATGTGATGCATAGAAGCACATGTGGTCCTGATAGTTATCGAAGCGCTGAGATTTGTTCCTCAAAATTTGTGTACGAATTTGGCCCACATTTTCCGCAATGTGCTCGTTATGAAGAAACCTGGTTGCATCCCAGAGTAGACTTTAGTATAATCAACTGATTCACAGCATATTTAGTAGTGAATTAGAGGAAGATTATTATAATCTATATACTAATTAAAGCACTAAGGATTTCCCTTGAAAAAGAAATGTAAGTATTTTACTCAATCAAATTTCGTGATATGTGCTTTAAATAAAAGGTACAGGGACCTAGATGTGAAATAATTTGCTTTGATTTGACTAATTTTAGTTACACCCTAAAGTTTCAATAATGTCTTAAAATTAATAGAATGAACTCTTATCTGTCGTCACTTTGCATTACGTTGAATTCAACAACCACTAGGCTCCATGCAGTTTCTTGTTTCAGTCATTTTGATTTGCGAATAGCAGTATATCTAAACAAAGCAGACAACGTTTTATCGAGAGATTTTTAGGTTCGAAGATTAATGAGCATCTTCACATGCTGCAAGTGAAAGTTTATGACCACAATGCTCATCAACCGTCTCACATGTGTCTTTACAAAAATTACGTTCGTGATTATACTCCCTGTACAGTATTTGAGTAACTCCAGAGTGTGTGTATGTGCATGACTGTGTGTGCAGTTCCGTCCCTCACAGTAGAACACTTTCCGTTCACCAATCAGTCATATGATGACCCCTTCGACGCGTCTCGGTTTCCCGGTGGGCAACTGATCATTTGTTTTAGAATCTAGGCAGAAGATTAAAAAATCTAAAAACAGGCTTCTGTGTGTTTAAGCGCTGCGATCATGGGGGGTAGATGGAGAATTAAACTAAAACCACCTAAATAATCTATGTAGGTGGTGTTGATTAAACCCCAGTACTCTGGGGTTATTTACAGTCCACGACATCATAACTGTCTCCCATGAAGATGGCATGACTGATTGTTAACAAGCAATTTCAAATGAAAACCGCGCGTCAGAAGTTGTTGTGAATTCGTAATTTTTCATATTAAATTTGCGAATTACATTGGAGTATTAAATTTGAAGCACATAAAGTAAATACGTAGAAAACAAGATCTGTAAGTAATACAGTGTTTTTGAATATAGAAACTAGATTCATCGTCTTTTTCGTTTCCAGGGCTCTGAAATAATAGTGTTTCTGCCCCAAAATCGCCGTTTTCTCGTGCAGCATTACATAACTTTTTATCTACTGCGTAAGTGGTAGCGAGAAAGTAAAACTGCGTCTTAATGAGAAGGCGGCCAAGAGGGGGTGCTGCTTCACAAACTAATCAAGAAGTGCCCAATGACACAAAGAATAAATAACTAGAAAAAATGCACTTTAAATTAAAAAATACATTAAGGTAGTTAATTATGAATATTTTATTTAATTTTTACATTTCAAAATTTTAATTGAATGCGAAGTGCTAGGGAATTTCTATTTATTAGAAGTATTGGGAATTTAAAAAAAATATTGACATTGTATAAAGAATTGTATAGAACTAATACCTGGCACATCCTAGGAATGATATTTGACCCTAAACATTCACGAAAACATCATATCATTAATCTCAAAACCACTTGCAAATCAAGATTAAAAATTATGAAAAAGTTATCATAAAAAAGTGGGGTGATGAATCAAAGTGCCTCTTGAGAACTTAATCGACCTTGATCCAATCTAAAATCGATTATGGGCACAGTGTTGGCACACAGTTGGGTACAGTGCAGCTCCTAGATATTTAGTGCAACTTTTGCACCCAATAATCAACGCTGCATGCCACGTAAGACTCGGAGCTTTTATATCTAGCCCCTGCAATAGTCTTTTAGTGGACGCTGGACCAGCTAATACCATTGAACTTGAGAAACTATTACGTCTAAAATATGCGTATTCAAGACTCTGTTAATACAAATATCCCATCCAATAAATACATCAGCAGTCATTCTAAAACATAATCACGACGAATATATCAATTTCGTCCAGGTTTTGCAAGACTCCTTCGGGAAAGACTTCTTGAGTATGAAAAATATTTGATATTGAAAAACCATCTTTCCTCCCAAGACATCTACGCCCGGTTTCTCCATGGGAACCATTCACTCCGAACATAGATCTGGAATTAAACCAGTCTTCAATGCCAATGCTGACATCACGTTCTCTGAATGTTTACATTCATGAGAAACACGAAAATATCAAAAATGGCTTACCGATGGGTCCAAACGCGACGGGTAATCTGGATTATTTGCCTAAAAGGTCTAAAAAATTGTACTCTTCATATTGTACATGGAATGAGAGGAGGAGACCAAAAGAATGTCACAAAACAACGGCTATATTGAGGCAACTGTAAAGTGGGGACAAGACGGCAACGCTTGCAAAGACGGTCTAAAGGGCAGAAGGACGGGCGCGCTTACGTCCTGCATGTGTGTGTGTGTGTGTGTGTGTGTGTGTGTGTGTGTGTGTGTGTGTGTGTGTGCGGGATCTCCCGGCAGAGTGCACGCTGCGCCGCCGACAGCTTTCGGAAGCACAGCGCTGCCCCCGAGCTGCGTCCCCGCCCCGCCCCCGCTCCCGCGGGCCGCCCACCAACGCGCGGGCGGCTGCAGCGGGCTCCTCGTTTATCTTATTTCGGGCTCGATATTACATGGCGCATTCGAAAATTTTTCCCGTAAACAAAAGTTTAAGCGAAATGTTTTTGAAAGTTATAATAACCTAATTATATAGGAGAGTTTTCCAACGATGAAAAATATGGTGGGGAGGGGGGGAATATGCATGTTAAATATAATGGCTATGTTCGTTTTTAATTCCCTTCTCTGATACGTTTTTCCCCCGACGTTTGAAGCACGCCGAATGAAATATTTTTAATAAACGCTGTTATAATGATCGAGTTAATTAGCGGGGCGTTTGTGGGTGCGCGCTGTCTCCTGTGCCGCGCTGCAGAGTGCGCGCCAGCGCTTTGACAAAAACGCGCGGGGGCGGCGGGTGATGTGGCGGCGGCGGCGGCGCGGGGGGCGGCAGGCGCGCTGAACCGGCGACCTCGGCGACCGTGGCGCCGCCCGCGGCGATCGGGCAAGCTTGTGCGCGGGGGTGGGGGTGGGTGACGTGTGCTCGTCGTACGACTGGGCCGCTTCGCGTGGAAGGTGAGCAGATGTGGTCAAAGGGCAGAACGCGGCAGAGGTGGTGCAGGGTGAGTCACTCAGCTTTACTTAACCTCTCTGGGTGAAATCTGTGTCGCTCCTCTCCTAGTTGTGGGAAACTATTATCTGAAAAATACAGGAGAACCATATTCTACCTATCGGAATGTACTAAATATTACCATCTATTAACGAATACTCGACAAATTATTATAAATGGTAAATATGTGTCAATCAAATTGTTAATTGTATCTGAGGTCACTAATGACCAGGGTGTCGAAAAGCCAATTAGTACTAAATTATTTCTCCGATATAACACATGCAAAAGAACGATGGGCAAAATACTACATTTGCAAACGGGCAATTTGTTTCGCAATCGCTAGCCTATGCTGCATTGGCGCAATTTTTCTTTTTCAGGAAAGAATGGTCGAAAGGTGTGGTGGATGGACACAAAAGAGACTTGTGTCCGTCTTAAAACCGCACCTTAACCGAGGCCTTAAAATCGCACGAGATTATCGAGAGAATGGGATTGGGAGAAGCTTCTGCAAGCGTTTTGAGATTTTTTGGGCGTCCTTCGAAAAGGCAACGCCAGTGAGATTCCCACGCTATCACAAATGTTTTTAAGGATGCGTATAACCGAATGTGTATGCGTAAATAAGAAATTATTAGAAAGGAATATCAGAATAGAATCTCTTATTTGCTGAACACTCTGAAAATGGTGAAACTGAAATATCGAAGAGCCCATCAAGAAAATTATCAATGGTAAATCATTCTTATTTGGGTTGGTAATGAGCTAATATTTAATTTTCAATTCATATTTTGATGCCAAAGTTGTAAGTTATGTAATAAGTGCGCGAATTGCCTCGCGATATTATTATTATTATTATTATTATTATTATTATTATTATTGTCGTTTGCGCACGGTTTGTTAAAAAAATATCATTTTCAAAAACAACAAAGCGAAGAGTTAAGTGCTTATTCAACAAATATCGCTCTCTTACTAATTTGTATTGTAATTTTGTTATTATACACAAAAATTTACACGACATTTACTATAAAATATTTTATGTTCAATTGCATTACTGTGATTGCAAAGAGTTTCTAAATCGTTTGATCTGGACTGCAATAAAATGTCCTGTATTCACGAGTCCTGAAAAAATTGACATTTTCAAATAAATAAAATGTCACTGTTATGTTATTACAATGGAATGAAATCTAATAATACTGCGATTGAAAAGGCAGAAGCGTTTTCGGATGAGTAAAAATGATATTTTTCACGCGTATTGGCAACGAATTAATTTCGTTC